GGTTATGTTGCTCACATAAGTCACTTATTTTGCTATCTATGAAATGATTTTGTGATGCAATTTTGCAATTTTGACCTCATTGCTAATATCTACTGACTTCGATGCTTTTTATCATTATTGTTGTTATGGTTATTATCATCAGTCAGTCATTATCATAATCATCATCATCACCATCATCACCATCACCATCATCATTAGCATCACCATTATCATTATTATTACTATTATTGTTGTTATTATTGATATTATCATCATTATCATCATCATTATCCTGCTACTATTATATTATTATTATTATTATTATTATTATTATTATTATTATTATTATTATTATTATTACTATCATCATCATCATCAAGTTATTATTTGATTAGTGTTTATCAAACTGCCAAAGTACCTACCAAACTACAAGTGTACCGTGTTATCAGTTAACCTTGAATTGATGTTGATTTGCGCACTATGTATTTTATTATTATTATTTATTTATTTATTTATTTACAGGCAGACAACTAATGATGTTAAAAGTAGGATTGCTAAAACAACCCTTGACTAGAAATAGTTGTGGTAATAGGCCTATAATGAAGTAAAAAATTTAGTTATTGTTGAGAAGGCAAAATGGCCCATTCCTTGTATAATTGGGTACTCTTACGTAAATAGGCAGTTTCGGTCGTTATTTCACTGTTTTCTTCTTATAAAAGCCATATCTGACGAACGAAATTGTGGTTAATTTTCACTAGTAATGAAAGCTTTAGTAACAGTAGTCTGTGAGGTACAAGTTAAGAGCGTAGAAAGAGAAATTCAGTACAAGATGTGTTGTGTTATGTGCATCAGCTGTGGGAGGCATATGGAGTTTCTCTCTCTCTCTCTCTGTCTCTCTCTCTCTCTCTCTCTCTCTCTCTCTCTCTCTCTCTCTCTCTCTCTCTCTCTCTCTCTCTCTCTCTCTCTCTCTCTCTCTCTGTCTGTCTGTCTCCCTTACTCCTAACCGCCCTCCATTATTCCCTCTCTCGTTCTTTTACCTTTTTCTCCTCCTCTCTCCATCTTTCCCTCCTTCCTTACTCCTTTCCGTTCCTCTCCTCCCTCCCTCCTTCTTCCCTCTTCCCATTCCTTTAATCCCCCTCTTCCCATTTCTTCATCCATTTCTCCCTTCTTCCTTTCCTCCCCCCCCCCCTCCCTATCCACGATTCGGAAAAATATTACCCCCCCCCAAAAAAAAAAAATAAAGCAAAAAAAAAAAAAAAAAAAAAAAAAAAAAAAAGATAAAAATACTGAATTGAGAAAGTGTTGCCAGGAGGTGATCACTCGTTTGTCTGTCACAGTAGGTCAGCAAAGTCATCGTCATCATTGCCAAAATCGCCGCAAGCATATTCATCATTGTTTTTTTTCAGGCTATTACGCCCCGTGTCTCTGCTATATCGGCTTCCTCTTTCTTCTTCTTTCTTCTCCTCCTCTCTTTCCTCTTTCCCCTTCTCCTCTTCCTCTGTCTCCCCTTCCCCCCGTCCTCCTTCTTCTCCTCCTCCTTTTCCCCTTCCTCCCCTCCTTCTCTTTCACCCCTTCCTCCTCCTCCTTCTCTTTCTTCCCTTCTTCCTCCACTTCCTATTCCTCCTCTTTCTCCCCTTCTTCCTCCTCCTCCTTTTCCTGTTCCTCTATCTCCTCTTCCTCCTCCTATATTTTCTCCTCTTCCTCCTCATCCTCTTTCCTCTCCTCCTGCAGTTGTCTTCGTTGTCGTGGGAAGTGGTAATAATGATAGCAACAGATATAAGCTTAATAAGAAGACCGATAATGATAACAGTAATGATGATCAACATAATGAGAAGAATGGTATTGATAATTAAGGTAAAAGAAGACCGATAATGATAAGATGATGATCAACATAATGAGAAGAATGGTAGTGATAATTAAGGTAAAAGAAGACCGATAATGATAACAGCAATGATCAACATAATGAGAAGAATGGTAGTGATAATTAAGGTAAAAGAAGACCGATAATGATAACAGTAATGATGATCAACATAATGAGAAGAATGGTAGTGATAATTAAGGTAAAGAAGACCGATAATGATAACAGTAATGATGATCAACATAATGAGAAGAATGGTAATGATAATAATAACAATAATAAATGTGATAATATGGGTAATAAATGTAATAAGGATAATGGCATAGAGACACTGAGAATGAAGTTGCATTTGTGATCTTGTCCACATTACTGTACTCGGCTGTTGGCATTCCTCGTCGATTCTGTCTCACCGTTGCATTGTTCAGTTCTCTGCAGTTGCTTTATCTACGAGTGTCAGTTGCAAGTTGATATCTGCCACCCCCTCATTCCTCTTCCTCCGTCTCTCTTGTCTCCCGCTTTATTTGTCTTCCTGTGTCTCTGTCTCCGATTTTCTTTGTCTTCCTGTTTCTCTGTCTCCGTTTTTTCTTTGTCTCCCTCCTTTGCATATCTCTTTCTCTGTCTCCGTCTTTATCTATCTCCCCCTTTCTGTCGTCCTCTTTATCC